CCTTGCAGTCTCCATGGCGACGCTGAGGGATTTGACACTGCTATATTTACCACCATCAAAGAGTGCTGGAGGCTTGGGCTTCATTAGGCTGCAGGGAGAGAAACGCAGTGGCGTAATTATACCGCGCGTCTGCCCAACGTCACAACACAACTTTGTGTTCCCTCCCTGTAAAGTTTTGTCTTGTTAAAGTGGCAGCCCTGGGTGCTCGGTGAATTGTAAGTTGCAGACAGTGCTTTGTTGTTCCCGGTCATTTTGTTATTTTTGTGTGGGTGTTCTGACAAGTTTTGTAGATAATGGATCCATCCAATTGACTGTTTTTTGTAAGGAAATGTGCATAGGGACGATGCTTTGAACAGCAAAAAGAAGAATTATGCAGTAATACAGTTTTCCATTTAGTCATTTTCAGTTCCTCTGAGGAGCGCACTCCCTCAGTAAACCAAGCATGCAGTATTCTTGACTAATCAGTACAGTACAGTAGGTCTACTACTGTCCCAGTCTATTACTGTCCCAGTCCCTCTCAAAATGCTGGTCAAAAATCTGGACACACCTGGGTCACTGGCATTTGAGTTAGAGTTCAATGCATTGTGTTAGAGACAAAAATCTGCCAATAAATGCACATGCAATTTTTTTGTGAATTACATTTTATTGGGTTACATGTATATACATGTATTAAAAAGTGGCAAAAAAAAGGAGAATCTCTTAGGGAAACAAAGTCAAGATGCCCTCTTTTTCAAATACAATCCTTCACAAACCAAATAGTTTGACCAATTATCCACAATAGTTGGAGTTGCATTATGGAGCTTAGCTGTGTAGCATTCAAGAATCAGAATTTTCAAGAAGTACTATAGCTACATTTTCTTCTTAGGCTTGTAATATTGCTTCGGAATTGTTTTTATAGGAGCCATTGAACAGGTTCATTGAGAAGGGGTGATATTCAGGGTGATATCAGAGTCATCAGATAATAAAAGAAGAGCCAGACATGTTGGTGACCTTATATCTGAAATAAATTCAATTACAAAATTCCCAAACCCTGCTACTACTGGACATTCCCAGTACTTACTGACATAAGATAGCATCTGCTGCAATTTTTGAGATTTTTTTTTTTTGCAATATTCATAGAAAAGTAATTAAGTGTTGAAATACTGATGTTAGAAGGTGTAGCCTTGATAAGAGACAGCATGATGTATTTTGCACAAAAATGTAAAAAATGGTTACTGAGATGGAAAAATTTATTTTAACAATATAAAGTTGAAATTATGAAGGACAAAAACTGCAATTTCTTATCATGAAAAAAATTGCATGTCAAATTGGCATTGATCTCATAGAACGACTCAGCTACTCTCAGACACTTTCCTTAGTTTTGTATTTTCCATACAGTGATGACATCAGAACTATGAAATGAGATATACAGTGGCTTCAGAACTTTGAGCATCCCACTCAAAATTTCTGTCAGTTTGAATACGTTGAGTAGAAAATGATCTTCAAAAGGCATTACAGATGAAACGTTCTTAGATTAGTGTGTTATTTTTTGTTTTGTTCAATTTTAGAGTGAAAAAACGAAAGGAGCACCATGCAAAAGAGATTTGAGCTCTCAGATGACTTCTGTCAAGGTCAGACCTTAATTAGCTTGTTAGGGCTATGGCTTGTTCACAATCATTGTTATGTAAAGTCAGGAAGTGCAAATTTCAAAGGTTTATAAATATATAAATATATAAATACTCTGACTCCTTGAAAAAGTAAAGGATGCTCTTCATAGTTTTATCTGTAAGTATTATACAATATGGCAACCTTTCTTGTCCTATTGGGATACAGTAAGTCTAGACCTTTCAGAGTGAATTGTCATTTCTTGACTGCTTCACTGCTCTGTAAAATTACAATACGAGATTAATTTGTATGATGAATTTCTTCTTACACATTTGTGTGAAGCCATGCAGTTATATAAGGCAAGACTAATATGTGTCACCAGCAGAAATTCGAAAAAAAAATAAATCTTTTTTTATTTTGTTTCTCTCCCCTTTCCCATGTGTGTGCAATGTCAAATGCGGATATATTGGGTTTTTTCTTGCTTTTGTATCTACATATTTAAAAAGACTGACTCCTCAAACCTTGTCCCAACAGCCAGTAGCCAGAGGGCTCCTTTAAGCAGCTGCATAGCACTCTGAAAATTAAAATCCTTGATGCCCACAAAGCAAGAGAAGGCTATAATAAGATAGCAAAGCGTTTTCAGGTAGCTGTTTCCTCAGTTTGTAATGTAATTGAGAAATGGCAGTTAACAGGAACTGTGGAGGTCAAGTTGAGGTCCGGAAGACCAAGAAAACTTTCCAAGAGAACTGCTTATAGGATCGCTAGAAAGGCAAAGCAAACCCCCTTTTGCCTGCAAAAGATCTTAATGAAGGTTTAGCAGACTCTGGGGTGGTAGTGCACAGTGCTGCTGTGCAGCAACACATGCACAGATATGAACTTCATGGAAAAGTCATCAGAGGTAAGCCTTTCCTGCATCCTCACTACAAAATTCAGTGTCAGAAGTTTGCAAAGGAACATCTAAACAAGCCTGATCCATCAAGCTCTGGGCTTGTGTTTCAGACAGTGGCACAGGGAACATTTCTCTGATACAGATAAGAATAGATTCAATAAAATATCAACAGATTCTGGAAGGAAACATCACACCATCTGTAAAAGATGTGTTCTTCAACAGGATAATGATCCTAAACACACCTCAAAATTCGCAGTGAACTACCTCAAGAGGCACAAGCTAAAGATTTTGCCATGGCCCTCACAGTCCCCCAACCTAAACATCACCAAAAATCTGTGGATAAAACTTCAAAAGGAGCAGCCCAAGAATCTCACAGACCTATAAGACTTTCACAAGGAAGAATGGGCAAAAATCCCCCAAACAAGAACAGAATGACTCTTGGCTGCCTACAAAACAATATTTACAAGCTGTGGTACTTGGTAGCTGTGGTATGTTATTAAGTACTGTAGAGTAAAGATATGTTTCATGTTTAACTGTATACCATTTGGAAATCAGGTTTCATCTTTGTCTCACTTAACTATTCACAGTACCAGAAATTTTGAAAGGGGTGCCCAAACTTTTGCATGCCACTGTATGCAGTGACCAAAAAACAAATCAAAACTATTTTTTTATGTTAAGAATCTTGGCATTCTCTCATGCAGCATCACGAGGAGCTGCCTGGGATGCTTTTTCAATAAGACTGATTAAGCTACACATTTGCTGAGACCTTTTTGGCTTTAAAACTGCCAATTTAAAGACCGTTTTAGATGCAAAGTTCCTCATGGAACTGACTTGAAACTCACTCACTCAGGCTAAAAATTCTCCCAAGGGGGAACTATTAGCAATCAAATTGCTTATGATGCATCATAAAAGCTATGCTTCTTTTTCTTCATATTATTCATATTTATTAACCCTTTAAACTCCCAGGCTTATTACATATTAAGGCTTATTATTCAGTAATGTCAGACTACAATGCAAACTAAATGAGTTCTTAGGTTACAGACGTATGCAGTAAAACTTTGGGTCTGCTGGCGGGCCCTGGCCATTTATGGAGTTCATGAAACTTGAAAGGTTGTGGAAAAGACTCACTGATAAACAGTTATTGTCATAGCATGTACAGTGCTATTCTGATGGATGCCCAATCTGCCACCCCCTGAGACAGTTTCAACATGGTCAGTGATGAGCAGTTCAGAACAGCAGGGGAAACAGTTTCCTTTTAACCACGTTGTTTTAAAAACTGAAAACAGCTTTTTGGTCAGCTCTTGTCAGTGAATGAGGGGGTTTTACAGTTATTATGACGAAGTTTTTGCTGCTCAACCTGCTCAAAAACGTATTTATAAGCAAGCATATGCTAAAGTCATGTGTCGGTCTTATCGGCTGGTGTCTGGTGAGAGCATGCTAGCTAGCAATCCACAGCAGCACAAAAATCATTCGGACTAAACGGGATGATTAAACCCAACATTATCACCTCAAATTAGAACTCAATGTTGTCCTACCTCTGACTACTGCTGAGATATCACCGTTGCTTTGACAGAAAATTACTGTTTTTATTGACATGAAAAAAGGCTAATTATAAATTGCTGTTTTTATGTGCCATGCAGACAGATTATCTCTTTAGATGCACTGCTACTGTGAGCCAGTGGTGACTTGCTAGTGCTGATAAAATCCAATGCCCTGAAGTGCATTTTTTCAGAAAAAGGTAAAAGTACTAGTTATACAAATTGCTTTTTCCCTTTTGAATATTTTAATTATCAGATATATTTGAATTGTATCAAATATTCATTGTAGTCCTAATAAAACAATGCTTGTTTTGTAAAGAAATTCATATATATATATATACCCTAAATTTTACTTTTTACATTGATCTTAAAGGCAATGATTTATATATAAGACTGCAGAATAAATTGTCTTTAACCCCCTTAAAATCACAGGCTTATTACATACTAAGGCTTATTATTCAGTAACTACAGGGACTACAGTGCAAACTGGCTGAGCCCTGACGTTTTAAGGGGTTAAAATGTACATTGAATCAGGTGTTTCCCATTGTTTGCCTGGTACTGTGCCACTGAATGTGACCAGCTAGGCTTTCCTTTGACTATGGAAGGTTGAACCAGGATTTGATCCAAACTGTAGACCAAACCTCTAAATTAGTAAATACATATACAATATTGTATACTTTAAATTCCTAGTATGATATACCATGATGTAACACAACAGCCAAACCTATGAGAGTGCAGTGAAAGATGAACTGCTTATCTGTAAGCAGTAAAGTGTGAATGCTTGTCATTTGGCAGAGGATTACTCTGTGTTCTCTCATTAGAGATTACCTAAAGAGAATGATTGTGCTAAATTAAACTGATCTCCGGTTGTAAAGCAGGGTCAATTAATGTCATTCTAGTTGTAATTCCTTTTGAATGGAATATTATGTCTTGAGTGGAAATGTGGTTGCAGGCATTGATCTCTCTGTCTGTGCCCCCTCCCCTCGCAGGGACTGGTGTCTTCTTTCTGGCCTGTACAGAGGGAGAACAGATCAGCTTTCTGTTCGACTGTATTGCTCGAGGCGTCTCTCCAAGCAGGGCACCGTTTGGATTGCGGCCAAATCTTCCAGGTTAATACAGCATGTGTGTCTGTGTGTGCGTCTGTGTGTGTGGTATAGGATGTAAAGTGCTTTTCATTCTCCCTCTGCTGCCTCTCTCACAGTCTTGCTCTCACTCTTTCTCTTTCAGTAATTCACTGCAAAATGAGTTCATTAATTACATTAATTAAAGTTTGTCAGAGCTCATGCAGAGTAGAGAGACGATCATAGAGCCATGAAAATCATGAACTTGCACTTTATGCGCTCTATAATGAACACAGCTGCATATACAGTACTGTGCAAAAGCCTTAGGCACTGAAGCACACTATTTAAAGCCATTTATCTTGGCCATGAGTGTGCTTTTATTTGTAAAATCATAAGAATTTCTTATTTTCAAAAAATCTGTTATCTTGCGAGCAAGACTGAGGAACAGACTGTGGCTCCAAATTTCTCCTTCACGCTTTTAAACCTCCTTTAAATTCTTAAAGAAGATGGTTCTTCAAGGGTTCCTTTGTAAAGGGAACCATAGATTCTATATAAAACTATTTTATGCTTAAAGGATTCTTTGCATAGTGAAGTGGTCAGACTGATTGAGAATGTGTTGTATATAGTTCTATATAGAACCTTTTTGGAGAGTAGTTCTATATAGCACCAAAAAGGGTTCTTCTGTTGTTTGAATGTCAAGCCTTGTAATAATAGCAGAACCCCATTTTGGTGCTATATAGAAACATTCTTTAAAAAGGTGTTGTATAGAACCATATACAAGACATTCTCCATCAATCTGAAGAACCATTTCAAGATGCAAAGAACCCTTCAAGTGTGCACATGATTCTATATAGAACCATTGCCTTTACTACAGAATCCTTTAAGAACCATCTTTTTTTTAAGTATATATGTTAATTGATTGAATTTAATGTGAACTCCTGCAGGTATTTGGTAATTCGGTGTACCGTGATATTAAACACACACAGTAATGTTGTTGTGGCCCCTTCGAGAAGTCCCACCAAACATACACATATCATTACTACAGTATAGTAACTTGTGTTTTTTAATATTAATTCAGCTTTACCTCATGTCTGTTGTACAGACCCAGCTTAATATTACTACTTACCCCCAGTAAAGTGATTAAAGCTGACCTTATTCATTTAATGCAGGTAACATTTCCTGATAAGGTGATTTTGGTGATCAAAATATCCCATTCATTCTTTTAATGCTGGTAGCATTTTTGATAAGGTGATATAGGTGGTCAAAATATCCACCCTGCAGTATTACTGCCATTAACATTTTCTGATACAGTGATTTAGGCTATAAACATATCCTACCTAAGGTTTTATGCAGGGAGCTACCTACCCTAAATATGAGTTACGGTAGAAGTTTTCAACAAGGTAGGACAGTTTGTCAGAATGCTGTCACTGTAATTTAGTCAAACATGCTGTAGTTTCACCTGAGATTTCTTAGACACGCATAGCAGCTCTGCTTTCACATACTTCAACTGTGCCACACGCTCTGATCATGTGATACTGCCCCTTCTCTAAGCGGAGCTTGTAAACAAGCACAACAGCCACAGCGCATCAGAAGGAGGATCAGGCAGAGAACTGTTTATCCCTCAGTTTATCACCCAGCTCTGAGAAGCAAAAATGTCCAGTCTTACGGAAACATTGATATTTGCAGTCATGAATTGTTTGTGTGTGTGTGTTTGTGTGTGTGTGTGTGTGTGTGTGTGTGTGTGTGTGTGTGTGTGTGTGTGAAGTAAAAGTCACGAAAACATCTCAAACTGAAGCAAAGCAGTTTGGCAGCTAACAGTAGCTTGGTGTTAAACTGAAATGTTTACTGAATAATTCACTGTATATATATAGCATACAAAGTATGTTACCTGAACATCTGTTACAAGCTTTGTTTGTCTAGAGTCTGTGTGTCAGCTCGACCCACGTTAGAACTGAACTCATACTGTTTCATGCTACATTTGAAGTTGGAGCAGCTTCCCAGCTCTTGGTCTCAGTGCTCAGAGTTCTGTTTGCCACTCCAGTCCTGACTGCTAATTGTCCTGTATGTTAATGATATGCATCAATAATCACAAATCTATTGATTGTTTCATTGTAAATATTATACACATATTGCATAATTGTATATATTTTTAATTCATTTTATTTTCTTATTGTACTAAAAAGTAAATTATGATATTCTTGAATACAGGAAATTTAATGAAGTATTAATTAGTCAAACCAGGTATCAAATGATAACCACAAATAATGCTGGGCTCCTTGAGAACAGCTTTGGAAGTGGTTAAACAAACACATTGACATGTCTACTTATTGTACTAATATTATTTTATTGTATTATATTATCTGATCCAATAAGCACTCAATGGCCAAAATAAATAAATATTAAAGTTTTTTTTTTTAACATGGTCACATATTAAGCACAACAGCAGGCCACTACTCTGACATACAGATACTTCCACTGATTTTTCAAAATGTTTGCATCATTCGATCCTTAATATGTAAACAGTGGTTTGATGTAGTAGTTTGATGCGAAATGGTAAACTGTCGAAAAATTTACCGGCATGGATTACTTTACAGTGGTGGTGATAGAAACCAGGGGCTCTGTTGAACAGCTCAAATATAGCCATTTAATTTACTATCCAAAACCACCAGTGAACCTGCTGATAATGTTAAAGTAAGTTTTCTATGGGGACTATTTTATAACTATTATAAACTCTCATAAAACAAGGTCCCAGGCAGCACATTTATAGCCATTTCATGTAATGACTTTCTGTTAGGTAGCTTTTAGAGGCATAAGAGACGTCTCCTGAGATGTCTGGTTCCTATGACCACCACTGTGATAAGTGTGATAAGAAATTTTGGAAAATCAGTGGAATTCCTATTTAAAGAGACACTCCAGCCAAAATAAAAAAATGTACCTTTGCAACAACTGTTGTAAACATGCCTACTCGCCTCCTACAGCAGTGCTGCAGTAGTCTGTATAGCAAGGTTTTTGGGTTTAAAGACTAGGAAAATCAGTTTCTCTTGAAGGTGAGAGGAACCTTGAAAAACTACAACTGCTTTGGGGTGGATTTTTGGGGGAGGCTGTTTAATTTTTTATTTTTTTACTAGCTGGTGAAGGCAGATGGATGGCTAACAACTGCTAGGAAGCCGAATATCTTATTGTAGTCATATAACTGTGGTCTTCAAATCATTAAAGACTAATGCTAGCTTAGTGGTATTTATTAGGCTGTAGATCAGTGGACAGAGTAGCAGTCAGGATTGGTTGATACCACTGTGGGTCCCAATGGTTGTATGATGTAATTGCATAATGTATGCTGGGCAATGAATGGAGTGAGAGAACACTGATGAACAAAACATGAAAATGACATATAATATTGGCATGTCATATTAGCTCTTAATCCACAGTCCCATTAAAACAATGCATATTATGCAAAATATTCCAATGAAAACAGTGTTCTCTGAAATATAGTACGGATAAACAATTTTTGAGAAAAACAAGCCTGAAATACAGAACATCATTCAATTGAAAGCAGTTAGCTGTACCTTTTACTGCAGTCATGCAAGCTGTTCCTCAAGATGAACAGCCAGTGCTGCTTTTTCCAGCCAAACATTTATTTCTGTATCCTTGGTTTGCATATTTATTTTTATTTACTAAACAAGCCCCACATTTCAACACAGCATGCTGACTGGTCCAGCTAAAACTGCATGGAGGCAAAGAGTTGTTGCAATGCTTGTGATGTAAAATGTTAAATAAAAACATTGCTTGTGGGATTATTGGAATGTACAGAGCAAAATTCTTAGGTATATTTTTAAAGTCTTGGGTATATTTCATCTTAAAACTCACCATCAATTTGTCTTCATCCAGCCCTTTGCATATTGCAAGATATTACTTACCAAAGAAAACCACACACTGAGAAACTCTTCTGTCTGGATGTGTCTCAATTTTTTTAAGATACTGCTTAAAAACTAAATATGTGTCTCAGCACCTGCATTAGGAGGTCTGGCAGGAGGGTTGAGCACTTGACAAGTTAATGGAGGAGATATAATGGAGTGTCTTGTAAATAAATGAGCAGAGAATGAAGGCCAGTATGGGACTTTATGTGGGTGTTGTTTTTGTGTCACATCTTCATTGCCCTTGTTTCTTCACATTTCTTTTTTTTTTTTAATAAGAAAAGACCTATAATGCAGAAAAGAAAGGATTTTTTTTTGCCACTGAACAAATTCAGTGCGTTCAGTCGTTTTCTCAATGTGTATCATTAACCAGACCCCCAGGGGAAACCACCAGCAACCTTGTTTTTTTCCCCGCAGTTAATAGCTTGTGCAATTACAGTTTTATTGAACTCGACTGCGGTGGGGCGTTTACATCAAGCAGCTGCAGTGGCACCCGTGGCCGTGTACTGTTAAATCACATTAATTATCATTAATGAGTGACAATGAACAGTGATTAAATGATTTATCGAGGCTTTTCCTGGATTCATCTGTCTGGGAATATGATTCACACTTTGATGGCAACTTGGAGTATCAGCTGAATGTGACATAGTGCTTATTTAACACTGAGCTAAACACTTTGTGGCTCGATTGAAGGTTCACCTTTCAAATATTGACCTGTTCCAGACTGATTTTCCACATTAGTTGCCTTAATAACATATTAAAATTTCAATGAATTGTTTGATTTTCTTTATTAATTAAGCTGCCTCACACTGGACCTCTTTGGTGGAGAATTCTTTGTTGGGTTGGGTTGCAAATGCTGAGTTTAGTTAGTGCAATAATGTACCAAGGGCTATGTGGTGGCGCAGGGACAGTAAGCTTGTTCTTGCTGATGTACATGGCAGGCAAAGAATGCTTGGCTCTTTTGCGATTTAAAACTGTGCATTCACAGTGGATTCGTGACTAAAATTAGCGCTGGCATTACTGTCAGTGAGCCGCTGCATAGCCAGAGAGCAGGTCAGTACACAGAAGAACACGTATGCTAGCCAGGGTGTGTGTGTGTGTGTTTGTACATTTCCAGGACAAAAATGTATATAAAACAAAACAATGTTTTTTTTTTCTCATTTGGTTACTGAGGCCAAGGTTAGATAAGATCAGGTTAGTTAAATTGTGGGTTAGGCTTAACTATAAATAATACATAATTACATATTGCTGCTGTCGAAACAAAACATTTATCAGTTTTTGAAATTTGAAAATGCCTGTTGCCTTTTACATTGTGTTACATTTTGGAGATACGAGGTTTTGTTCCGACAGCAGCGATAGACATAATACATAAGGGACATGTCATTATTATTACACATAGGTACATACACACCTACATATAGTACATATTGGACGTTATTATTGTATATAGGTACTTACATATTGCCGCTGTCATGACAAGACATTAAATCTTGAAACCAGAAAAGTGAAGGTAAGATTTTTTTTCCCAAGTAATTTTGGAACATTTCTATTGGTCCATTCATCATGATATTTAAACACGTTGTAAAAGGCAGCTGATATTTTCAAATTCTGCTAAACTATAAAAAAAATGGAGGTACTTTCCATCTCTTGGCTGTAAACATTTTTTTCTAACAACAGTGATAATGAGGTAAAATGCAAATTAAAACTGAAAGCAGTGAATTGTCATTTCACTTTGACCTTATAAAGACAAGATATTTCATGTTTTGCCTTTTGAACTTTTTCAAAATATATGCTTGTTCTGAAACGGAGGCTTGCAACATTTTCCAAAAAAGTTTAAGAATAGTTTTAAATTTAAGACTAAAAGACTAAATTTGAGACTAAAATATTGTTAAATATTCCAAAAAAACATCTTAAACAGGTGATTAAATCATGCTTGGGTATAAAAGGAGCATCAAGGAAAGGCTTGATCCTTAATGAACCAGGATGGGTCAAGCATCGCCACCAAAAAATGGTTTAAAACAGTTTAAGAATAATGTTCCTCAACAAGCAATTGGAAGGATTTTAGGTATTTCAGCCTCTGACTCTGTCCTCAGTTCCCAAACAATTACTGAACAATTACGTCCCAACATGTCTCAAGCATATATATACAAAAACAATAAAGTTAAGCAGTTGAAACATCAAATATCTCGTCTTTGTATTGCTTTCAATTGAATATAGTTTAAAGAGGATTTTCAGATCATTGCTGTCTGCTTTTATTTACATTTTTTCCTACTGTCCCAACTTGCATTAGCATCCATTATGAATGAATTAAGAATGTTCTTCTCTTCTTTTGTAAAGTGACCATTTTGGAGATAGGAGGGTTTGTTCCAACAGGGACAGTATGTGTATGTATATTCATATGCATGATACATGACATTGTAAAAAAAAAACTGTGTGTCAGTGTGTGTGTGTGTGTGTGTGTGTGAGAGAGAGAGAGAGAGAGAGAGAGAGAGAGAGAGAGAGAGAGTGCTTAAGACCATCTCATTTTCTATTTGTCAGATTAGCAGATTCATTGCCAGTTTTATGTGTTAATGAATGATATTTCTCCTATATTGGCGACCATTGCTTCTGGTGTAACTGTATCTCTTGGAAGCTATAACTTGGCAGGTCAAACCTTGTCTTGATAACTTACATAGTTCTGTCTGTGGTATGAGGATCAGATGTCTAATATCACAGCCAGACCCAGCCAAGTACTGCTTAAAGCTGATTGGTGGTTTATATGGGAGATTCTACGCTGTAAAAATTGTTTGTTTACAGGTGTGTGTATCTATTTACAGTTATCTATGATTTATAGCACTGCAGGCTCAGTGGTAAAAAGTGCTACTGGCTTCTGTTCTTTATGTTCCCATTGATTTGGAACAGGGTAAGCCAACAAAGTCTGTGGAAGACCTGAAGGAAGACTAATGTAAAACATTTTGGATGCATAAAAATGCCAAAGCTAAGAGGAGAAGAAACTGAGAAGTAATCAAGATAGAGAGAAAACGTAATATTGTTTGGATGATACCTGTTCTGACAACTGCGAATGGAGGCAAGGAAATTTCTCCTTCTGGAATTCAGAGTTTTAGAAGAATGAACACTTCATTTTTGGTTCAGAATGTCTTTGATAAGCTTCCAGTGCAGAGAACTTTTTAAAATAACTAGACGTATTGATGCTGGATATTTTTCACTGCTCCTCAAACCCCTTTAGAAGCAGCCTTTATGGCATCATTCTCTTCACCCTCAGTCTTTGTCAAATGTTAAATGACTATGTTTTCAGGGGTTTGCATCATGTTTGTACATTTTTCTTCTTGACAGTGACATAGACTGAACAAGCGGTGTTTTCTTGTCTTACCTTCGGAGGTGCCGGCTATAGCAGTGCTGTCAAGGGTGGTTGAATGACAAAGAAGTAAGCATGGTGGTGTGTTTAAGCAAATCCTACAATAAGCACTTATTGAAGTTCAGTACTTGCCAGGTTGCTTGTAACGGATGCCCTTGGCCATGCGCTTCACTGGCCATGAGGATTTTTGTGTATTTCTGCAGTAGAAAAGCGTGATAATTTACATAATAATGGATTGATTTAGACAGATTCAGATCTGTCCTATAGAACCTCTAAATCAATTCATCATTATAGGACACCTTAGGCCAAAGAAGACATAAAAATGCAGTGCAGCAGTCTTGATGGATGCTAGAAGTGGCGTGAAGCTGCTCATGCACCTGCATGAACATCTAACAGTAACAAAATCAGTGGCTGGGCTTCCATTCAGACGTTTTGCCATAGAGTCTCACTTACAATGTGTGGATTTGAACCTTCAGTCGTTCCTGGTAGAGCAGTTTTGACAGCCCTTTGGCAACTGTAGATGTAGCCCTAATAGGCTGGCAGGAGGAAGTTGTGGCCTATTTAATGAGGGGTTTAGTCGCTGTTCCACTTCACGGTCGCATATCAAACCTCTATGCCAGGCGTAGCATTGATGACTGTGCCACAATTTGCATACTACCATACTAAATAGTATGTTAATAGCACCACTGATGGTCTACTAATGTGACATACTATTTAGTATGGTATATGTGGTTTGAGACGCAGCTAATAATTTAATGGAGTGGAAACACGTGACTTTCTTTCCCACTAAACCATCGCTTATTGGAAAAATCTGATTCCATTACCATTTCTCATTTATCGATAAAGTAACTTTTACACTTCATCAACAAATGTAAAAATGTTTTTGTGATATTTATGCATTTTTCCATATTTTGCTTGGTATTTGGCTATCCCATCCATTTTCAAAATTCAAGAGGTGGATGGGAAACCCTCTGTTGACAGGTCATGGAAGACCTGTGATATTAGCAAACTTTAAGCAATGGAACAGTATCAATGATGGCTGGTGGGTCAGCTCAGCAGGAGGGACCACTACTGCAATGTTAGATATCATTGCATTTAACAAGTTGCAACAAAATCTGATTTGTCTGATTAATTCTGTGTGTCTGATTGTCTAATTAATTCTATTCTGTGTTAAAAGGGGAACTAAACTAAAAAGTAGTTTGTTAAAAGGGGAAGAGAATACAAAAAATCTCCAAGGCAAATGGCCTCTCTGGTCACAGGCTCTGCATATTTTAGTGGCCGAAATGTTGTGGCCTGGGGAACCAGGCAGTAGGCAATGTCTACTCCCTGAGTCACTGTTATCGCTGTCCCAGATGTTGGTCTGTCTAGCGGAGGGTGACTTTTGTACCTGAGGCCATTAGGCTGATCAGCGACATTTCTTCTTGAGCTATGTGAACCACGCTGAATGACTTGTATAAGATACACGCATAATTATCTATTTATTTCCTGTTTTTATATTTACCTATTTCCTATTCTTATTTTGAAGTTGCTCAGTTATTAACTACGACTCCTGAATACAGAAAGTTTCATTTCATAGATGAAAATTCAGTTCTCACCTGGGTGTAGAAAACAGCAAACCCCCTGGTGGGCTTCTAGTGGCTAATGATACGTGGAAATAGCAGCCATGTAAACATCATGTGTGGATGGTGAGTGATCTTTCTTCGACAGGCTCTGTAGTAACTGTACCACCATGAAAACTGAACACCACACCAGGTTATGCCGGCATACATGTGTTGTGTTGACAAGGCTTTGGCATCCCGGATGGTCTCTCAGACTGCCAGCTTTCTCACCGTCCACTAGCCACAGCTCTGGTCCAGCAGCCACAACCAAAACTGAAGGCAATCCTGATATGGCTGCCACACTCAACTTCCCAGCTGAAGTAGTGAGTCCCTCAGCGAGGACAGCAGCAGAGGTACTATGGTCTGGCAGTCCATCAAGGAGCCACGAGCAAAACCTGGTGCTTGCAACTCTGAATCCTAGATTCAAGAGAAGAAACCATAGCCTATAGTAGGTGCACGAGGGAGTATCAACTGTCCTTCACACCTCCTCTGGCAGTCAGTAGGAACGAAACAGCCACTGCCGAATACCCATCTTATTCCTTTAATCTCGCCAATCTTCGCTGTCTTTTCATCTCTTGGCTGTAAACTTCTCCGCCTTTCTTGGGCTCTCTTCTGTTTTTACGCCTCTGTTGCTTTCTATCTCTTGCTTACGCTGTAGTTTTTTTCCTCTTCCCTGTCTCTCAGCTGCACTTTTTATCTCTAGCAGAGATAATTTATTTATTCTCCTCTGAGTTGACTTATTATCTTATCAGAGCTGTTTGGGAACAGCATCTCTTGGCTTATTCTACAGAGAGTGCACGCTGCCACTTTCACAGCCTGCTTCACAGTTGTTTTTCCTGCCTCAAACCTGAACGTGAATGTCTCAGAACAGGGAGTAGGAGGCAGAAGTGATATATTATGACTTCATTTTCAGAGTCTTGTCTCTGATAAGACGAATGCATTATCAGAAATAACGTGTGCATGGGTGTACGTTCATGTGTATCTCAGAAAGAAAGAGTAAAAGAGAGAGAGAGCAGGAGAGAGAGAATAACATTGCATTTGCTCATTTGGTTTAACGGTAATTGAATGGTTTCGGTTTTCTAGACCCTGCTGCTAACCCGTGCTCTGTGGAGGAGAGGATTAGTCAGGAGGCCAGTGAGCTGGAGAAGCGCCTCAGCCTGCTGTCTGTCAGCAGCCGCCACAGCAGCTCAGGTAAAACACACACAGGAAATGGACACTTTATTTTGATGCTCAGTTTGTTTAACTGACACTAACTTTCAACTAAATATGTATTCAAGGAATAGTTTGGCAAAAACCAAATTTATGCAGTGTTGCTCTTATTCCAAATGTAGCTGTTCAATCAGGAAAATTATTGTTGTCTGAAGTTTGCTTCTTAAGTCTATGAGGCTAATGTAGCTAACAAATGGAAACTTGTTATTCCACCGGTTAGGGATGGGAGGTATACGGATAAACAGTGAATACTAATGTGGGGTTGTCTCATGATATGGATTTTTCCATATCTCGGACACCGTGATAAATCCAAAAATGCCAAACAACAAACAGCCTGCTCTCAAGACAAAGTGAACATTGGCAAACCACTTATATAACTCATATAAACTCACCAAAAATGACATTCAACTGCGCATTGAGGGCTGCTTGCAGTAAGCTCCTGTTAATTAGCGTAGTCTGTTAAAGAGCTGAGCAATATGACAATATTTATCATAATTGTGATAGTCACAATGTCACAATGTGCTTTTCTGAACACATCATGGATCTTGTCAGTACTTACATGTTTGATTGCAAAAGGAGTTCTTTTAGTCCTATGTAATTGGATTTATCGTGTTAAACGAATAGAAATGATTTAATTTATAGTTTTTGATAGCATTTTTAAATGTGGGCTTACTTTGTCTGTCCTAACTTATCAGTTGTCAGAAAAAATAAATATTGTAAAATGTATTGTAAAAAATTCTTGAAGTATCATATGACATTTTGCCATATCAGCTATCTCCAATCACGTTTTATCATTACTTTAATTAAATGAATTAATTATAAATGCTTACTGATATGGGCTGCTCTCTGAATGAGATTCTGCACTTGGGGAAAAAAAGAAAATAAAAAAGTGCATCTTTTATAGTAATAAAAACAAACATGGTAGCACAAAGATTGTTTGGTTTTAGTTAAACATTTCCTTTTTCAGCATACTCACAGAAACACTATTTTTTCCTTTCTCTGTTTTTCCTGAATGGTCAGCATCCCACTCCAGTTACAGCACTTCCCTGGCAGGAGATGACCGCAGTATATCCAGCTCCTCCTCTGACACCAGCCGCTCAGACACCAGCAGTCGTCTGTCAGCCTGGCCCGACCCAGTCAGATACCCCACCCCTTTAGAATCCTCACCAATGCTGTCAGGAACAACAGCACCAAAGCCTTTGAGTGCATCTGTCAGTGCATCCAGCGATGAGCGTCTGTATGGTGTAATGATGGGGGGACTCCGCCCTCCATCCAAACCTCCACCACCCAGAGGGCTTCAGGAGACGGGGCGCCAGAGCTCAACCGACAGCGGCATTGCCACAGCCAGTCACTCGTCATATTCCGGAAGCTTCTCATCCTACACGGGCAGCTTGGACACTGGGCAGGGGGAGGCGGATGAGTTTGGGTCCCTGTATAGCCTCGTTTCAAACATCCCAGTTCAGAGTGCGAGTGTGCAGTCTAATACAAACCCCAACCTCAACACAGGCCAGAGACTTTTGCCACAATTCCAGAACATTTGTCCCGTTTCCCGGACACCATCAAGAACATCTTCTCTGGCACCAGAGAACAGGCCAGTGTGTGTTTGCCCTGTTTTCGGTGCATCCCAAGAGCAGACCTCAGAGTACCAGGTGCCAGGTCACGTCCTGCCGCAATATGACACCCCCCGTAGGCTCATCCAGCTCCACCCCTCAACTCAGGACACCGGGGCTCCACCTGCCCCAGACCGGAGGCCTGAGCCTGGGCTTTCAGGGCCTTCAGGAACTGCAGAAGCTGCTCCCAAACTGACTGCATCAATGAGATTAAGTGGGAGTGGTGAAGGAATAGCAGCCCCTGGAGGTTCCACCACACAGCGTCATATGATCTGTCCCATATGTGGAGGATTGAAGGTAGTTTTTAAAGGAATGGTTCAGCGAAAACTCAAATTGTCAGAATTTTCCATTTACCCAGCTGTGTTCAATCAGCCGAGACTAATTTTTACCCGATTTTCTCCCCAATTTAGTCGTCTCCAATTCCACCCGCTAGTTAGGACTCCCCCAATCACACGATGCTATCAACGCTAGGAGGGTGAAGGCTAACACAGGCTTCCTCCGAGACCTGTGAAGCCAACCACCGCTTCTTTTCAAGCTGCCGCTCACGCAACGTCATTGGACAGCCGAACGCGCTCGGAGGAAAGCGCCAACCGCCAGATCTGTTACGTCAGCTAACAGACGCCTGCGCTGACTAGCATCGCGCTGAGTGATGGGGGGAGAAGGAGGGGCCATCCTACCCACCCAGAGAGAGCGAGGCCAATTGTGCTCTCTCGGACTCCCGGCTACGGATGGCTGTAGCATCACCAGGGATCGAACTCGCGATCTCCTGATGATAGGGCCAACGCTTAGACAGTTGCGCCACTCGGGAGCCATGGCCGAGACTTTTTTGGTGTCCAAAGTTTACTTCTTTAGTTTAGCAGTGGAGCTATGAAGACAATGTTGCTAACAAACACTAGAAGTCAATAGTCACCCAGATCTTTTCTGCAGCTACATCCCTGTGCCTTCTCTCAGACCACTCAGACCAAATTCAGGTATGTATTGCAAATACAGGTTGCACAAACATGCGGATGTAGTTAGGGGCCTGGACTGAAGTCAGCCATTTTAGACAATAGTGTTTGGGTGACTACTGACTTTTAGTGTTTGTTAGCAACGTTAGCCTTGTAACTCCAGTGCTAAACTAAATAAGTGACTCAGATGATTGACTACATCTGAGGTCAGTGGAAAATGGTGTCAATTAGATTTTTCGCTAAACCATTCCTGTATGGCTGCATGAACAATTATTTGTTGAACTGATTAATTTATTAACTAAATTGAGTAGTTTCAATTGAATTGACTAATCAGCCATTATTACTTCTGCTGTTTCTTCTCACTTTACCCTGTCACAGCTTTGCCACTTTTTTTTTTGTGAGAACTTATTTCTTCCTTTATGGTGCAGTGAAACAACAGAACCCCCCACACTTACCGTATTGTGTTGCAGTCTGTCAAAATGACAACGTATATGAACATAATACAGCACTATAGAGCACTTTTATTTTTAAATAGACAGTATGTCTATGCATCTTTTTCCTATAATCAGCATCAACAACTAACAACTTTGTTCTTTAATTGTTAGAAGTTGAGCTGATGCTCTTTCTGTGTGAAAAATGTACTGTGAGCCTATTGAGTTGCTCAAACATTCTAGCAAATATAAGAAACTGAGAGGCTGTTTACACCTTGCATTAACATGACTTTTTTGATGATTCAGTCGTGTTTACGTTTCACTTGACTGCATGAAAAGCCAAGAGTTAACATAATCAGGATGCATTGTGATTGGATTATGAACAGATCACTCAAATCACATTTGGAGGTAGGCAAGATCTTTACCACATTCAACACAAGTGTAAATGGAAAGCATATCGTCTTCCAAAAAAAACCCCTGTATCTCGATTTTTCTGCATTATTTGAACCGGCAACTGTCCTTTAAATCTTTATGTTCACTTTAAAGTTAAATTTACTATTTTGTAAATACATGGTTTTTGGGCAAGCAACAGTATTCTATGTCTGCACATAGTTACTTAAGCTAAAATGCATCTGCAGAGTGCTGACAAGCTGACAAGCAGGTTAGAGGATAAACGAGGGAACGCAATATGACTTCTTGTGGTCTGGGCTGATGAAAGCGTCCAAGCCAAGCTTGTTGATTTGTATGGCAATGGAGGAAAAAGTAAACAGAAAGTAAATCAGAAATGACGCATGTGTTAATGTGCTTTTATGTGGGAAAGTAAAATCAGACCTCATCTGGTCACACTGAGGACACATTTTAGTAAAAATTGTAAATTGAATCCGGCTTTGATCTGGACATAAAACACATGTTAATGCAAGGTGTAAATAAGCTCTGAGAGATCATAACATTAAAGAATCCATCTTTAATATGTAATGGTTAGTTTAATAATTGAAAAGACTCTCTGTCCACCACTGATTTTAATGAGATCTGACTTTAAAGCGGTAATCCTGCTGATACTTTTTTCTCAGTTAAACTGCCGCTTTGGCTGAGTTCAGTTGTGGTTTATATGCACATCAGAGAGAGACAAAGCCTTTTATTCACAACGAACTTTAGCTGTGATGAAGAATCAGACTTTACCCTGTTCTCTACTCTTTATCTTAAAACCCCACACTCCGGCTTTGTCTCGCCTCAAATCAGTTAGCTGTCTGTTTCAGACCTGCTCCACCATCATTCGTGTGCATCAGGAGGGAAGCAGGCTTGCTGTGTGAATTTAAATGCATTTCTCATCTCGCCTCTGGCTGCCAGCAGCAGAATAATCTGAGAGCACAGTAATTACCATCAAAAAAGGACTTCTGCATCACACAAACAAATGGCCCAACTTTTTTGCTCAACCAATCATTATTTCACTCCATGTCAGACATAAAGCTTCAGAAGTTCAGAAAAAAAAATATTACTGGGAGGCAGGGCCACCTATAAGGGTGAAAATAGGGGGAACCTTTCAGGGGCCCAGCCGCTCGGGAATGGGGAGCCCAAGAGACCAAGTGTTGTGCTCAGAAAATAGGACAGTGGAAAATAATATTTTTCCTTAAAGTTTACCACTCCTCAAAGAGAAAATATTAATGATGCTCACAACGGTATCAAAGCTGATCCTGACATATTTTAATAGATCGATATTGACTATGTTAAGTCTGATCCAGTTTTGATCTTTTGTTATATGCAAGACCCTCTCAGACATCTCCACAACCTACAGCAGTGAGATGCATTTTCAGAAACTATCAAAGTGGTCTGAACCACTTTTGTCTGTGTTGTAAAACCATTTTAAAATGGAAAATTCAGACAAAAATGCAATTACGGAAATAATGTAATAACTGCAAAATCACTAGATTTGATCTACCAGCGTTGTATTAAAACACCATTAAATCTGCATGTGAAATGCAGCATACTGTGGAGTCCAAAAGACTGAGACCACATTGACCATATTGAATTTTTTCTTTAAAACCTGCCATTAAAAATCAGACAGTTCTAGAATCTTCACAAATTTAAAACAAAGGAAAGTTATCACAATTAAAATGAGGAAGAAATATTTAAAATTCTGCACTGTTTGTAGGTCACTCTTCAAATTGAGGCAAATTTGTGAAATTGGCCACATTAAGATCTTCATACAAAAAGGTCATGTTTTTTTAGTCTTACTCCTTCCGTTGAAGCCCATGTTCAGACGACTCTCAGGTGGATCTGATCTACTCATCAAAGCCTTTTGCACAAACTGCACAAATGCTAAGAAATTCTGAAATTCATGTAAACATTTGAAGATTCTTCTTTTCACTCAAAGTGTTATGCTTTGAGTGAAATATCATTTGTAATGAAAGATATTGTAGTAATAAATTGGAAATTAATGCAAAATAGAAGCTTTTCCACCAGTGGTTTTAGATTTTTGGACCCTGCTGTATGTATAGGGCCTGCAGTTATTATGCATTGAGTCTATTTTTGCTGCTTGCCATGAGCACGCCAGTAGAAGAATGCATAAAATAGCATTTTGCACTCGGTACTGGTGTACAAAATTCTACAAACACTTCACTGCCATGTCTAGTATTACAAAAAGACATTAAGCTTGGTTTATACTGATGCATTGATGCAGCCTTTAGCAGTAACAGCATTTTCAACGCTAAAAGAAAGGAGTAGGCTGCTGCACGCAGGTTACAGCCATATTAAATCATAGAATATTCATACACTATAAATGGTTATTTTGGTAGTGTATGAATACATATGTTACCTTACTTGAATTAGATTGGTACTAGATTGACACTTGAGGTGTGCCCTGTATGTACCTACGAACTACATATCTACGACACGAGTTACCAAATTTTGCAACTCCAAGCCCGCACAGCTAACCACAAACGCCGCTGCAGCCCACAAAAAAAAGATTTAACCAGCCCAGTCATTTTAAACACAAGCAAATATAACACAGTAATCATTGTATCATACTTCACTTGCCTGTGAGTTTACACAATATAATAAACTCCAAAAAAAAATCAATTTGAAGCCACTCATCCATGAGGGATAAATTTTATCAGAAAGACAAAAGCCCACTAGCAGTACCAGCACGGCCCACTAGAGGGCCACAGTCCACAGGTTGAAAACCACTAATCTATAAAAATACAAATGTCGGATAGGACTCAAGAAAATCTTAGAGGATGTCCATTCGGTAGAATTTTTCAGGGGTCCAGACATGGCTTTGTGCTGGCCTGATGGGAGGAAGGATAGCGTATCAGTGATTTGCAGTGCCACTCAAGGGCCTTCAAGCTTTAACAGGCTAAAAGTATTTGGTCTTGTGGTCATTACTGATGTTTGGTTACTCTTTGGTGGCTGGCCGGATTTCCTGTTGGTGTCCATTTGTTTTGGTTGACGTGCAATATAAAGTGTATTTGTTCAAAAAATATGTGATACACGACAGCATGTATTACTTAATCCTGAAATGCTAGCACTGCAAATAATGAACTGCACCCAGTTAGCGTTAAGCAGTTGAGCTTATGCTAATTGGCCTTCTCCATCCTGCAGTCATTGTTAGCATGTTTGTGTGAAGGATGCCTTTAAGCCATAAAGGAAGAGCAAGCAGCACTGTTCCTTATTAAGTCACAAACCTGCAGTTGTAAGACGTGTTTGTTGTTCATTATCATAATGAACATCAACAAAATGCATTTTTTTCTAAAATGTAGGCCTGGAATGACCTTTTGTTTTATATTGCTATGCTGTATTGCTATAAGACTAAAATCCTTGATGGTTTCTCTTAATAGGTAATGCCTTCTACACCTGCAGGAATCTACCCCGTATCTGCTCTACCTGGTAAGGCCTTTTTATTTGTATAGAAATAAGCTTATTTTTCTTTTCAGTTCACATTTGTATAAAAATGGCAGTTTGAGTAAAGGCTGTTTTTGGCATGTCTGTGTCTTTACTGCTGTTTTTAGACAAACCGAAGCATGAGTTCAGCAGCAGTGCCATGTCTGCAGGTGCTGAGGGCACAAGTATGGACATAACGGAGGTAAACGGTTCTAATATGTTTCTTCTTCTTTAGGCGAATGTTAAGATGCTGAGATGAATTTCCAAAATACATCATCTCAGTAGTTTTAATAATAATGTTACAGTGAGCTTGCTAGTAGAATGCTTATGGAAAACTGGGCTGAATCTGTGTTTATTTTGGTCCCACTGATCAGCCCTTTACAGTCATTTTAAACCTTTGTTTGTTGGGATTTTCACAGACAGACAGAAGTGACAAGGAAGAGAGAAAATAAAGCGAAACAAAATAAAGAATAAAAGAATAGAATATCACTTGCTTCAGTTACAATTTGCAGTCAAAGCATTACTGCAGTAAACTGATCCTTTTTCGCTCTTAAGGTGTATTTCTTTCATCTGAAATATCTCAGGCATGATGTCTGTCCACTGATTTGGTTTAGGGGCGTTCAGTCTTAAGCTAATTTCTAGTAATAGCCTTCACGATAGCTTTCTTCAAATGTTTGCAGACATTAAATCAAGGGTTTTAATAGGCAGTTTGCTGCAGTAATAATATCTATCTAATAACGTTGTTGTGAGGATTTGATTGCATTCAGCTACAAGAGCATTAATGAAGTCATGTACTGATGTCGGATGGTTAGTTCTGGATCACAAACGCCACTCCAGCTCCATACTCATAGGTATTAGATGGAGTTCTATCACTCCAGAGAACGCATTTTCACTGCTCCACAGCCCAGTGCTGGTGGGCTTTATACCCTTCTAGCTGATGCTTGGCATGGGGCATGGTGAGATTAGGCTAATTTGCAGCTGCTCTTTTCTGTGGAGATTATACAAGCTGTATGTGCACAATTGAACACCTGTGTCAGCAGTGAAAGCACCTTAAAGTAAATGAATTCAGTAACTAGAAGGACTGTCTGGACACTTTTGGACAGTATCTGTCCTCTGTCTCTCTAACTCTACTTTTGACCCAGATCCTCCTTTAACTCACCACCTCCTCTTGGGAAATGTACATCCTGATACTTCCAATATGTTTCCGTGGACAGGTCTAATTTTGGGTCAATTCTAGATATACAAGTAATTTCTTAAGGGCACAGAGAATGAGAGTAGCGTAAACAGTTTCTTATGAGACTTCAGATTCCTTCAGTTAGTGGTTAAAATCTGGGGCCTCATTTATAAACTTTCATATGTGCTGATTGTATCTTAAAGTGATTATATGGGAAAATTCCCGTTTAAATAGTGATTTATAATCACTATTTTTATTTCTTACACCATTGAAAAACACCAGTTGCCCTTTACATTGTTTGAACATTTCATGATAAATGGAATAAAACCTTGTTACATTAACGTACATTAGTCGATTTCTATAAATTTACCATTGTAAGGTTTATGTATTATTGAAGTTCCCTTATTTTCTTTTGCACTTTCTGTTAATGTTTGTAAACGTGGTGCTTATCTGAAGCACGTCTCATCTCCGCAGGCAGAGGAGAAGAGCAGGTATGAGCTGATGAGTAGCTATGGACAGCAGAAGTCAGCTTGGGAGACAGAGGGTGAGTCTGTAAGTCTGCACTGTTTTAAATGCTCTCATACGCATTGAATGACAGTTTTACTCTTCTCTCAACAGGACGTGTATCGGCAATGCCTACATTTCCCATGAGCTCTCTGGGGCTTTTCAGACAATCCTCTTTCTCTGGTAATGAGGGATCTCAAGGCTGGCTTATTGTGCTTTTTAATGTGTTGAGAGAACTTGTTGTGTTGGTTGATGAAACAGCATAAAGGTCAGCATTCACAAATCATTAACTGGAGCGTGAGCTTCATAGTAAACAGACAAACTGTAAACTATTCTAACCATGATTTGTAAATGACTGACCTTGTCTTGTTCTGCCTGGCAGATCCGAAAGGCAATTATGTGTGCATGGCATTCAGCATGGAGCCGTCCAGGAGAGCAGAGTTCAGTGCTAGAGATGGTCAGTCTTATGGTCAGATATAGCTGTGTTTTCTGTCATTCCCTTCATTTGCTCATAACAGTCAGTGTGGGACTGTACAGTGACAGATGTATTAGTGTTTATCTAAAGTACGGCTGTCACTACCAGTTATATTAGTAATCACATAATCAATTATGCCTTCAACAAGGAGGTCAGTTTGAATCAGTTATTTTTAAAATTTAAAACAAGTAATCAAGTTTAATCGATTAATCGTGACAGCCCTACTCAAATGTTTGTTTTTTTTCTACAACTTGGCGTATATATGTTTTTTTTATTTTTATTTTTTTTTTTGCATGTAGCTTTGCACAAGAAATATTTTCATGTGTCTTTTATTAGATTTTATTGCATTGTGAGATATAGTGTGAGACATACTACATGTCCAAATGTTTGGAGACATCTTCTCATCCAGTGTTTCTTCTGAAATCACAGGTATTAATAGGGAGTTTGCCCCCATTTGCTGCAGTAACAGCCTCTACTTTTCAGAAAAGGCTTTACACTAGATGTTGGAACATTGCTGTGAGGATCTGATTGCGTTCTAAGCCACAAAAACATTAGTGAGGTCAGGTACCGATGTTGGATGATCAGTTCTGAATCAAAAACTCCACACCAGCTCATCCCAAAGGTATTAGATGGAGCTCAATCAGTCCAGAGAACACTGTTCTACTGCTCCACAGCCCAGTGCTGGGGGGGGCTTTATATCCCTCTAGCCGATGCTTGGCATTGGGCATGGTGATCTCAGGTTCATGTGCGACTACAGAGTGTCTCATTCAGTTGACAGTGCTTTTCCATGGAGATTATACAAGCTGTGTGTGCCTGACTCAACACCTGTGTCAGCAATGAGTGCACCTTAAAGTAGCTGAATTCACTAATTAGAAGGCGTGTCTACACACGTTTGGACATGCAGTGTGTATTATAATGTGAAATACTTGCTAATAGCCAGACCAATCAGTATAATGACTGACACTTGTCAATTAACCTAATGCAATGCTAATTTGTTTTGTGTAACAGGGAGGTCATTAGTCCTACCTGCTGAGGCTGGGTCCACAGTTACTGACCGGCTTCAGGGTGATTCTGCCAATTATGTCAACATCCCAGTTAGCCCCACATCTAAAAGGCAGCTTCACTATATGGAGCTGGATCTACAGGACATACCAGAAACTGGGCACACTGTCAGAGGTGACCATGTTCTATTCTGATTTTCTAAGCTATTTCCCTTTTCCCGCAGTTTCGTTTTTTCTGCTTTACCGTTAAACTCTCAGATCTAGATGCGCAAACGTGTCTTAAGAAATAAAATCTTTTTTTGAGAATCTTGATTTCTTTCTTACATCTTTTCCTAAATAACAAACATTTTCCAAGCTTTCAAAAATTTATGAAAATTGCCCACCAATGCTCCATTTACCATTTAAGTCCACTTTGTAGTTCTACAATTACAGACTGTAGTCCATCTGTAGCCCAGGGCAGGTGTTATTTGGGTGGTGGATCATTCTCAGCACTGCAGTGACACTGATGTGGTGGTGGTGTGTTAGTGTGTGGATCAGACACAGTAGAACCTCTGCTAAAACTCATTTCTGCTTTTGATAAATGGATTTATTTGGGAATAACTGTAATTTCTATATGTATCATCTTATTACTTTTTTCTGCTTTGTTTCTGTACAGTACAGCAATTACCTCTGAACTGAATATCTCAAGCAGTTATGCAGCACTTATGCAAAGAACTGTCCAAATCCTTTTATTGTAGTTTACTTTACAGGTGCTTAACCCTGCACTGTGTGACCAGGTGTGCTAAAAACTCCAATTTGTGTTTGTGTGTATGTGAACAGGGACGTCCAGCACTAAATATGCCCACATTGACATCACTGCGACTGAAACAGCTCAAAGAGTCGGAGCCCAGCACGCTCAGGGCAGAGAGGAGAGACTGCAGGAGCTAGAGCAGAGGAGACGAGGAACACTTAACTGAACACACACCAGCACGACTAAGCCACGAAGAAACTCTCATGACATTCATCACCACACAGTGCATTACCTTTTTCTTTTTAAGCCTCTAGTTAATGTTATGAAATACAGGCTATTGCAGCCATCAGATTTAGGTGGTTATACTATCAACTACTTTAGCTCTGTAATAAAATCTCAAGAAAATGTTGCTGTCCAAAAAAAAAACAAAAATTACATTATTACAAATAATGTACTTAAAAAATTTACATAATTTGAACACCGCGGCTGTCTTTTACATTGTGTGAACATTTCTGACAAATGGACCATTAGAAATCGTCCAAAATTACTTGCCATAAAATCTTACATTAAAAGTTAAGAATGTTTTTGTCTTCTTCTGTAAAGTTAATATTTTAGAGATTTTTTTTTGGACAGCAACAACATTAATTTGGTTTTGGGCTGTTTTGTACTGACAGAAATATTCAACCAGAAGTTACACTTTTCCATTGTGCTATAGATTTATTGTGGAAATACGCTAAGAGTCTAAAATGTTAGTCTGTTTTGTTGTCAAGACTGTTGACAAATTGTAAATAGCCTACATGCTTTCAAATGACCAACTTTGACTTGTACAGCTACAACTTCAAATGTGTGCATCATGAGAAACAGATGCAGTATTTTTATGTATTCTTTTCCAATGTTTCTATCTTTAGTACAATAAACAATACATTTAGTGACTTATCATTGATTAGGTACCTAAACATTCAGAAGGTTTTTATATACTAAATTACAGAGCATATATTCTTTAACTATAATACCTATTGTGTTCTAGTGTAGTTAAAAGTTGTTTCATTCTTTAGTCCATAGTCTGAATAGGTCTTTAATGGACAAAACAGTCTTTTATTTACAGACATCACAGTAACAAATAGTGTATTGGACTTCATGAAGATGATCAGTATTAAAACACATTTTAAACTCTGAAAGCTGCTGCTTAATAAAACAGTGTGACATCCAGTATTTCAGTGTTCAAGCTGAAAATGCAGCCACCCTAGTCTATTGCCTCTGTGAACTATATTAGCAGTCATGCCACATAAGCCATGGGTAATCTTTAAGCCTAAAAGTAACTTACATATGCATTCGTACCATAACCAGTTTTTAACCACTTTTACTGACCCAGTACTGAACATCCAGTACACAAAAAAACAATTCAGTGCTTAGCGAAGGTCCTCATTAAATGACATTTAATAAAAACTGTATGAATCAATGGACCCTCCCATGTGCTGATCAATGTCTGATGGAAATGGAGGGATTATAGGAATGTGACCAGCACACGGGTATCAGGTTGGTCTGTTGCCATGGAGAGAAGACGAGGTAGTGCTCAGAGTTCATTGTGCTGGAGTCCGTTTCTTGAGATCTTATTATTTATATCCTGTAAATGCTTCTTCATCTGGGGAAAAAAGAGAAGGTGGTATTACTTCATCACTGCTTTTAATTTGAAGAAAACCTTTACACTTCTGCTTTGATGAGCTATCAATCAATATAGGTGTGATGATAGAAACCAAACACTTAACATCATTTCAAATTCATTTAAAAGTACCACATGCAATCTGTTAAAACAAGCACTCAAGAAGAAATAAATAGCAAAGATGACTTAGATGATTACTAAGATTACTAAGACTATTTAAAACCTCAATTCCTAATAAGTTGAGTTTAAGAAGTAGTAATGAAAATCAAAGCAGTGATTGGTAAGTTCTGTTTGGTCTGTATTACATTGAACAGTACAAAACACGATAGTTGATGTTGTACCTTATGAACTTTTTGGCAAATAAACACTCATTTCATTTGATACCTGTAACTCGTTCTAAAAAAAACTGAGACAGAAGCATGCTTACCACTGTGTTACATCACCTTTCTTTTTTATAGTGCGTAATACTGATTTGGGGGCAGAAGACACCAACAGGTCTACTTTTCTGACATTCCTCCGTTATACAAGTCTTCAGCTGCGCAACCATACGAAGCCTTATGTTCTTTGACCCAGAGAGCCTGACACAAATTATTTCCATAAAGAATCTAAAAGAATGACTCGTCAGATTTCCACTGGGCATCGGTCCATTTCAGATGAGCTTGAGCCCAGAGAAGTATGTGGTTTTCTGAACGTTTTTAACATATGGCTTCCACTGTGTACAATACAGTCTTAACTTGCATTTATGGGGCAGCGACAGTTTGTCAAAGTATTCCCAAGCCTACGTGGTGATATCAGTCACAGAGGCATTTTAATGTTTTTAATGCGGCAGCATCTCCGAGATCAATGGTGTGGTTTTTGGCCAGATTCCATGAAACTTTGGTAGTATTTATGCACTGTAAAAGGTGAAATACCCAAAGTCCTTGCATTTTTGGCAAAGTGGTGAGCCTCAAACCATCCTTCCTTAAAAATGACTAGGCCTTTCCTGGATGATCCTTTGACCAAAATATGAATGCATCACCTGTTTAAGATGTATTTTGCACCTTTCTTTGCTGCAGGCATCAGTTTCAGAATGAAGATTTATTTATAAAAAACAAAGTGGATTTACAAATCACTGCTTACTGTTTTATCTGCATTTCACATACTGTCCTTGTGTTTTTGGAACTGAGGTCTGTAGTATTTTTAAAATGCAATTCTAGCACAGTACCTATACCTGTCAAAAAATAATAAATGTATTCTAACTTTGTCAGATCACATTTGTTCCTTATTTCCTCTGATATCTTCTCAAACAATTTCTGGTAGCATTGGCCCAATACTGATATATCTCTTAACACCAACCCCAAAAAAATCACTGTGTTCATATTAGAAATGGAGCCCTACCTTGTACCCCATCTCTCGTGCTTTCTCAGCGAGGTTGTTGTATTTCTCCTTATGTCTAGTGATGTGCTCCTTGTCTCCGAGAGCCTCCACATGCTGCAGTTTCTGGTGTGAATACTCCAGCTGCTCTTGGTAGTGTTGGTGCTTCTCCACCTTTATTTCAAAGTGCCTCAGTTCCTCCTGAACCATAAAACAACCATGAACAAAGTCTTTCGATTAAGGCTACAGCTAGCATACAGATACTTGGTTTCATAAACACACAAAGCAGTGTTTCCGAATCCAGTCCTAGAGCCCCCTCAACACCTTCGTGGCACAAATCTTTAGTTTTCCTACTCCAACACACCTGATTCAGCTCCAGAAGGAGTTGATCATTAGCTAATGATCTGACTCAGGAGCAGGGAAAACAAACTGTCAGCACTAAAACTACTTCTCCAAGTTGAATGTGGCTGAAGTGAAAGTACTTTTAAGTTCTAAATTATTTAAATCGTGATACAGAGAAGCTATAAATCTCAGCTGGCCACTCTGTTTGCAATCCTTCATCACTTTCATTTTTTCCCTCAGAGCCTCTAAAGCAATACTTCCATTCGTCAATTACAAGCTTTGATTTTACTGCCTGCCAGTGACACTAAACTGTTAACAAAAGCTTGTCGCTCCTCCTCTGAGAGCCTATTACACAGCATACCTTCCTGCACTGTGACAGAGACACTTTAAGACTGAATAAAAACTCCAAGCTTACCTAAAGGCCCTAAACAGTGTGTTTGGAAGTTAGAAGAAACATCTTACTTTGAGGGAGTCAAGCTCATCCTCACTGAGGTTGGATCTTCTAGCCATTTCCCAGAGCTCTATGACCCTGGGCTCCTTGAACTCTACAGGAAAAGAGAGAGAGAGAGAGAGAGAGAGAGAGAGAGAGAGAGAGAGAGAGAGAATTGCAAACCAAGTTACAAAGTCAGTACATTTCTCTCTACAAGTTATACGAAAGAGTTCCTCTGCATAAACTGGTTTACATAAAGCACGAACTACATTAACAGCACACCGTTTTCACTGCTGAAGCCTTCATGAGAGATTCTGCGGAGCCGTTCAAAGCCCTGGTTCAGATCCCTCATCCTTTGCTTTAGATCTGTGTGTTTCTCATGAAGGGCAGACTCCTTCCCCTCTCCCTCCATAGGAGAGATCACATTCTTATGGATCTCTAAACGAGAGGGGTTAAAATTAAATAAGGTACAGAAATGAATGGAAAGATGTAAAGTCATGTCTCAATGTTACTCATTAATGCTATACTCTGTGTGTGCGCTAAGTTCTCTTATGATTCAACTAACAGACTTTTATCAATATAGTCAAGGCCTCTATAAAAATAAACTACATAATTTCAAATGTAGATTAAACTATATAAGGCCTTATTTAAACTCTTTAGTAAAGCAACATCAATCAGCTCACCCTCCGTCCTGCTGACTGTATCCATGACTATGTTGTACTCATGGATCTTGTCTTTGTGGTGCTGGAATTCTCTGCGCAGGCTCTGCAGTTCCTCCTCAGAGAACTTTCCTGAAGACTTGGCCTACAAACGAGTGGCAGAACGAACAGAAGTTTTGGAAGGAGAGTAGCAGGAATGGGGAGAGCTGAGTGAAGTCAACATGTGTAATGTGTAATTCAGTGTTTATAGGCATTATTTTAGTGAAGTGAAGCATTATAAAGCTTTGAGAGATAAGAACTCACTTTGTTCCAGAGCTTGTCCAGCCTGGGGTCATCAAACATGTCTCCCTCTTTGGCATCATGGTCTTTCAAGGTGTTGCTGTCCAAAGCGCGACTGTCCTTCTTACCATCCATTCCATACTTTGCAAGAATGACTACGAAAGCAAATATTATGCAATGACACTAAATACATTTTTGGTGTCTTTACACCAAAAGCACAAAGAAACTAATTTAGAATTTACATTTGAGTGATTTTAATGCTGTTTTATCATCTGTTACATGAGTGCAGAGAAGTCTAGTCTGAAGTTACTGGGCTACCGTGCATGGCGGCATTGAGGGTAACTGATTAACCAGCCTAGAGATAGATGACTATATAGGAGTATTCAGACAGTCATAATCATACACTAGTTTAACTCAACCAACCACAAACTGATCCTTTAGTTCTGTGATGAATCTGGTCACGTAGAACAGCTTCACTGAAAGGTTTAACTTACTGTTAAAGTTCCGTCTGAGTTTGGCCTCTCTCTCGCCAGCCTCGTCCAGCCCCTCTGCCTTCAGTTTCTTCCACTGAAGCTCGTCTTTCTCCTGGATCTTCAGGTCACTGTGAAGCTCCGACAGCCGCACTGGGGCAAGCTGCATCTGAGGAAAGAAAAGAGTGATAACAGGGGACACCTGAAAAATACGCAGATACACAATTAACTGGTACTATCCACTCTATCACTACTGCAATGAAAAACCTTGCTTGGATGCTCCTGAGATTTTAATGGATAGCATCATCACAACTCTGCCAACCAATGACTGCCAATACATGAACCTGTTTCCACAATGTCCACTCATCCTGAACTCTTTACCCACCAGGTCTGTATACATAACATCCCGTACATGTCTGAGACAATCATCAGCTTACAGACTTCTAACAGACTCCAGGCCTAAAGGGTAATTCCACCGATTTTTGAAATTATCTGTGTAATTAAATGGTTAAGATGTGGTTTTAAGTGAAATGCTCCAGAAAGTATTTACAGTACTTGGTTACGAATATGCTGCCTGATGTCAAACACACTGTTTAACAAGTTTTGCCATAAACATTTGGCCTAAGTATACATTATTTTAAAAAGCCACTCATGGTGGGGGGTACATACATGGTGCTGTTCGGCAAAACAGCCCCAAATTATTCTTCCAGACTGACCACTATGTTAACATTATCAACAACACATTAAAAAATATCAGAACACGTGTGGGTTCATTGGTGGTTTTGATCTATTTTTGCCTTGTGTAGTTATATGTGTCCCCTGGTTCCTATCACCACCACTGCAAAAAACACTAAGTTGCTAAGTTTCTCAAAGCATCACTTCTCATCATACCACACTGAATGACTTTGTTTACACCTTAATAATTGAATTAAACAGAATTTTTGAAAAATTGGTGAAATTCCCCTTTAAAACATAGGAGCTAACAATGAAGTACAGTTAATGACGTTGGATTGCGTTCACCATTTCAATATACCTTCTTATGGAAAAGAAAGTGCACTGAAACTGAGAGCACTACCGCTGTTTACTTCTACAGGTCGCTTAACTTACCCTGTTCGCTTTCTCCCAAACCTGGTTCAGTTTAGCAATCCTGAACTCCACAGCATGTTTGCCATCATTAGAAACCTTCTGCTCATTCACCTCCCGGGAGTATTTCCCCGCCATTACTCCAACACTGAGGCAAACGCTCAAAAACAAGCAATGCAATCTCATTTTCAATAACTACTGCAAACAAAACAAAGCAGAGACACGAAACTCGCCGCTTAGAAAAACCTCTACACCGCTGCTGCAGCCAGGAAATAGTAACAATCACATGTCGTGGTCAGCTGCCTACAATGCATTCTGGGATATGTAGTTTTATAGTGTCTTATCGCCTCGTCCTTCTCTATTAGGTGAATATGGAACAAAGACTTCAAGTCCCACAGATATTCGCTCACTCTTTGCTTTGGTAACGAGGTGTAAAGAGATTTTTGGGCAAATGGGATGAATCCACGCAGTGAAGTTAACGGTTTGAGGCTTAGAGTGGAGACACTCCTTTAGAGATGAATAATGCGACTGTTTTTATTTTGTGTTGTTTTTTAATTGGGCTTGTAGACGTAAACTCGCACCCAGTAGTTAAAATAAATACTACTTCTGCACAGAAACCATGACCACTGAATGTACTTGCTAAGTGAGTAAATTAATACATAACATGACCCCCCCACCACCAAAAAACAAACAAATAGGTTAAATAAATAAATGTGCAGGCGAGCTTTTGTGTCATAAAATGAGCTTTACGGACATAAAACTCCCAACCGATTCACTTGTACAGAAACCATATTCTTGAGAGAACCGAATGTGCTAATCTAATTAAAAAAAGATTAATTGATTTTTGTCTCTAAAAAATAAATAAAATGTAGGCGAGTCCGGTTTATTTTCATGTGCTTCGTCATCCAGTTCAAATAATAACAATAACAAAACATTCAATTAAGAGACAGCGATCATTTTTCAAACACATTCGACATCTTCACACACGAAGTCCGTGTAAAATGTCTCTATCTCACATGGAGACGGACATTACCACAGTGTTTTGTACAGGTGGTCCTGATCAAAGTGACCCGTCCTTACCCCTGTGGACAGCGCACAGCGGAGCAGAGAGCGCAGAGAGGCGCTGGACACGCAGACACCACAGCAGATCCTCACGGGTCAGTGAGTTTGGTAGGACGTTAAGTCCAAATCTAGGCCACACTGCATCGGTTTATAGTTAATACAAAGGACATTTAAACTTTAGACTTTGTTGACCACGACACTAAACGTCTGCGGTTCTTCAAATGCATTCAGTGGGCTTGCTAATCTGGTCGCTATAGCTAAAGCCTAACTTTATATAGCTAAGCTTATATGGCTCACCTCTTAGGCACAGGACAGATCTAGGATCCGTTTTAACGTCCTGATGAACACAGTGGGTTTGTTATTTACACCTTGCATTAACATGATTATAATCGGATCATCGAGGCCACAGTTTACTATATTGAGGCCACAAATTAATATATCAAGGCCACAAATTATTATAGTGAGACCACAAATTTATATATTGAAGCCACTAGTTATGTGAAATTTAGTAATATAGTAATTTATGGCCTCAATATATTGATTCACCTCTTAGACACAGGGCATGGATCTAGGGTCTGTTTTTACATCCTAATGGGCACAGAGGGTTTATTTACATCTTGCATTAACATTGGTTTTTGGTAATCGGATCACAACCGTACGGGCCCCTAAGGTGACACTATAAGGTGGACATTACTCAAACCAAGAAGAGTAACAATGTTGGTTATTAGGGTAACCGAATATGCAGCCTTATGTGTGGCCTAATACAGTATTATTGCAGCTGGAACTGTAGCTGTACCCCTGAAGTCACTGTTACTGATGGTAAGAAGTGCATTTAGCCAAAGGCATATTTGCATGCTTTGACTGCCCTATTCACTTTCCACCATTTCCATGGTGACTCCTTTGGCATTACAACAAAATTAATGGAGAACACTGAACGTGCAGAGAGCAAGCAGAGGGCAGCCAGCACTCCACAGCCGTCCATTTTTTATAAAATGCTGTTTAATGGCTTACTTGAGATGTTTTGTGACCTTTGGTGTGTATCTGATCCCGTTAATGTGCTGTGTGATGTTCAGAGCTTTGTGCACTGCTGGAGTCCTCTGCTGGTGTACTGAGCCTTAATGAACGCATTCAGTCACAGACAACAGGCACAAACAGTGTCATTAAGACCACAAACACCGCACTTAACGCTGCCGTCCCCAAATCATTCGTCTTCATTTAAACAGACAGAAAGCAGGCTTCATCCTGTCTGCTTCTGTTTGCAAAACCTTTTAACTGAATGATGAGACAACAGAAGTCACAAACACAATGCATTCAAATGGAACTCGCTCAGATTTTAGAGAGCAGGATGATGTAACATGCAGTGCAGTGTTTTTCAAAAATGTTGTAGCATAAATGTATATCTTGGTTTTATATATATATATATATAACTGAGTATCTTAAAAGGGAATTCCACTGATTTTTCAAAGTTTCTGCACAATTCAGTTGCTGATATGTTTCCATAATGTGTTAATATAGAACTTTGATTAATAGTGTGCATAAATATGTGTGTATATTGAGTATTTTACAATTGCTTCAAATGTCCTATTTCAGAATAAGAGCTATCTGTTTTACAAAAATTAACAAACACCTTCCATGAGCCAGTTTAATCGTTCTCTCGCTTATTCCTTTAGACCAGAGATTCTCCAACGTCACAGGAGACCCAGAGCCTGAGGTCCAGCAGCACCAGCCACCCCGGGACCAGGAGAAGAGACCAGGAGAAGAATAAATACTGTGATGTGTCCATATGGGGCGGGGATCGGAGCTTTAAATGTGCAGGACGGCTACTGCTGGCTCAAGAGGAGGTTGTCCTGCAGGACATGCTGTCTGAAATACCCCGCTACTCTAGCATCTCCCAGCTGAGGCCCATGGAGTACTGGGAAAAAGCTGCTGCCACATTGCCCGACTATAAAGGTCCATGGCAACCTCCTACTATTCTAAGAGAGTAGGAATCACCAAGATAAGCTTAAGGCCTAGAAAAGGCTTACTACTAATTAAATTCTAATGCATTGTACTAATTATTGATAAGATGTAAACAAAGTTATTCTGAGTGCTCTGATGCAAAATGCTCTGTTCTAGAGAAACTCAGAGAAAGGGTAAGTCAGAATTGTTCACAGTGATAGGAACCAGATGTCTAAGGGGTTTGATGCCTCTTAAAGCTACATCACAAAAAGTGATTAGATGAAATGGTTATGAATATGTTGCCTTATACCTGAGACATTGCTTTATGATAGTTTATGAACTAAAAATATATATTTTTAGAAAATACATTCAAGGCAGGGAGGTACATGTAGGGTGTTGTAAGGCAAAGTAGTCCCAGAAAGGAACTTAGTTTTCAGATTCAACTAACTTTCCATTAACAAAATTAAATATAAAAAAATATGTTTTATAAAACATTTAGGTTTTTTTCTTCAGTCAATGCTGTTTGTATGATTTATTTCTTTAAAGATGGCACTGTTTTTCCAGAGGGAAGAATTCATGGAGTATAGTGGTGTGGGTGGAGTTTTCTCAGGTTCCTACCTAATCATACATAGACCACTGTAAGTTGTGAGTCATTCTGTTGTCTGCTTTATACCCACACGCCTAAAATTTAAAATTTTGATATCAAATTCTGGGTATGTGGGTATTTTCCACTTCCCCTCAGTCCATCTAAAATGAGCTCAGGCCCAGAGAAAGCGGCAATGTTTCTGGATCCTGTCTATATATGGTTTCTTCTTCGCATAATAGAGTGTTAACTTGCATTTCTGGATGCAGTGATGAACTGTTTTCACAGACAGTGGTTTTCAGAAATGTTTCTCAGCCCATGCAGTGATTTCCTCTACAGAATCAATATCTGTTTTTAATGTAGTGCAGAGCTCCCGAAGATCATGGCCAGACAGTAATTGTTTTTGGCCCTGCCCCTTGCATACAGAGATTTCTCTGAATTCTCAGTCTTTTAATGACATTTTGTACCATAGATGATTACACCCCCAAATTCTTTGCTATTTTATGTTGAGAAATGTTATTCTTGAATTGTCGCACTATTTGCCTGTGCAGTCACAGAGTGGTGAACCTCTCCTCATCTTTACTTTTGAAAGACTCAGCCTCTCTGGGCTTCCAAATAAACACAAGGTGTTTTTTTAGCATTACACAACTTTACCAGCCTTTTGTTGCCCCTGTCCCAACTTTTTTGAAACATTTGCCAAATTTAAAATGGCATATATTTTTCAAAAACCAATAAAATTTCTCAGTTCTTATTTACATTTTCCAGTGTACCAACTTTTTTAGAAGCGGGGTTGCACATTTTTCTCCTGAATATCAGTGGATCCTCTTAATCATGAGTCAAAATATGAATATTGCTACATGTAAGCTAATGCTACTGTGCATCAATTTCACATCAGTAAGCTACACAAAAGTAAGGTGGGCTGTGGTGGAGTTCTGGTGAGTTGTGCTACCTTGAAATGTCCTGCATATTTATAGGTACCTCTGTACATAAAAACTTTAGGCAAGACATTACAATAGCCTAAAACTCTTTAACATAAAAAATACTACCAGCCTAAAAACTACTAGGCTGAATTTAGCTTCTTGTTCAAGTTTTTTCGTTCCACCTTAAAAGGTGCAGCAGCTGTGATTAGCTTCAAACATTAGCCAACGGGACAAAACAAAACTGACCCCTTGGTTCTGTGAAACAGCAAAAATAAGTTGATGTTACTCAGCTGTCAAGCAGAAACAGAGCAACCTACTCATATCATGCCTTTCAACTCTATGAAGCTGAGGTCAGCTTGTTTTTCACTAGCTTGTTCGAATTTTCCTGTTCCACCTTAAATGGCGCAGAAGTAGCCGGCGAATATCCTTACCAGAAAATGTTACCAACATTAAAATAATAATTAGGATATTTTGATAGCCCGAATCAGCTTATCAGAGGATAAGCAGGAATATTACGCTGAGTCTGTACTGAATTAGCCTCAGTGCAGGTTAAGTTTGCTTTTCAAATCAAGCTATGAGCAGAAGAGAAAGATCTATCGTGTTTCGGTGAGTGTCAGATGAAGAATAGAGAACTGCTGGGAAACCTGCTTCTTCTTCCTGACTTCTTTTAATCTGCCCCTATACTGTACATGGAAATGCACTGTCACACTGGTAAAGTGTGCTTAAGGAAGTTGTCAGTCTAATGACATCAATTGAGTGTGCTACTGCATTAGCTTACAAGT